TGTTGCAAGTAGAAACTGAGATATGAGGTCCTCGTGTCCACAGTGCATTTGATGTGGCAGCCACACTCTTGGAGAGGCATTTGCCCCTCCTCATTGTTCTGCACACTCCTGTGGCCTGCCTCCCTCTGCTGACATCTGTGTTTGGAGCCCCTACAACAGGCAAACCTAAAGACAACAAGGCCCAAACATCTGCAGAGGGACCTTGGAGGTGATAGAGGACTTGTGACCCCTAGAAAGCTTGGGATAGTCTATGTGATCCCCCTGTCGATTTGGACTCATTTATGGTCTAAGTAGCCAATCATTCAACTAGACAGAGCTGCTGGCAGGGCCTGGGGTGGCCTGTGCCACCAGGCTGTGTGGGGAAGGCCTTTCCAGGCTTGGGCGGAGTTGGCCTTGGTTGGAGAGGTCTGGGCAGACTCACTGCCTTGCTCCTTGGCAGAAAGTCTGAAGGTGCCCTGTGCCCTGGATTTGTTACTGTCAGCCTGCAGCTCTCTGGTGCGGGAGTGTGTCCAGATGCTGGTGACTCTTACTACACAGCAGCTCCCAGCACAGGTGGACTTGGCATTCGTGTGTGTCGGCCAAATGGAGGAGCAGACCCTGGGCACACCTCAGCGCTGGTGGAATTTGCTGATCGTTTCCTCCTCTCAGTTGCTACCCTACCCAACCTAGGCCAATGTTGTGAGAAGTTTGCCTCCTGAGCACTCTGAAAAGTGCCCTCTGGGGAAAGAATGCTTGGGAAACAGCTGGATGTTTCCAGTGGAAAATGAAGCCCATGGGCTGGTTGGAGAGTCTCCGGAGAGCAACCCTCATACAATGATGCCACTCCCGTGTGTTTGCCTGGCCAGACATACACCCCAGCAAGGCTAACTGTGCCCCTCATTGGTGATGAAGCCCAGGCAAGGTATGCAAAAGGATTATGAAAGAGGACAATGGGGGTTATTCAAAGAGTTTAGGGGTTATAAAGAAAATAAAGTCGAAGGGTGTTTTAAAAAGGAAAACATCCATCCGAAGAGCTGATTTCTCCCATGGAACTTCACTCTGGGGCATTTATCTGGGGACCTGAGTGGTAAGCAGCAGGGAGCAGCCACCCAAAGCATTTCTGGAACTAAGCAGGACATGGAACTATGCAGAGAAGCAGAAAGCAGAGCGTGTGCGTGGAGGGCCTCGGAAGCCTATTCATATCACATGCACTCAAAAACCCCTTGAAAATGCACTAAATAGCCCTGAATTCACTGAGCCAGGCTATTGCAGACTCCAGTGCTGAGAATTAACATTCTTGGTTCTTAGCTATAGCCTTTTTTTCCCCGGAGCAGTGGAGGCCAAGGCCTGTTTTGAACTTTAATAGAGTAGAGGGTTGAGTGAAAAGATCTTCTCCTGTGGACTGTGTGTGTGTCCCCACGCATTCCTTGGCTTTAATGATCATATGATGGGTCTCCTCTGAAAGCCATGACTGCAAAGGCTTGTCTCCTTGGTTCTTCCCTCAGTCTTCAATGCCAGGAGAAATGCTTGAGAGGTAGGAGGTGCACCTTCCTCTACTGGTTCACTGTGTGAACAGGTCTGCACCTTCTTAGATGTACGCATACATACTTGTGTTATACACACCTGTGTCTGTGGCCCCATTCAAGAGACTTGACACAAGTTTTAGAGTTGGGATGGGGCTTTCAAGAACATGTGCTCCAACCTTTCCACTTTAGAGGTTGGGAAAGCAAAGCTTCCAAGGAAAGGTCTCTAAGTAGCATGACATCTCTGTTCCCCAGCCCAGGCTCTCAAAGACCTCCTGGTGGCCAGATTGTCTCCTCTGTCAAGTTGTCACACAGCACCTGTCTCAAAGGCTACTTCCTAGGGAGGCTCTAGACAATGGGTCTTAACCCAGGCTCCAAAGGGGAGCTTTGAAACATCCCAGTGCTCAGGCTACCCCTTAGACAATTAGAATTTTTAGAGGTGGAGGTGGGACCAGCAATCAACATTTTTTAAAATCTCCCTGGACAATTCAATTTTAATTTTTCCGGACGTAGTCTTTATACTGTCTGCATCGGAATCACCAGGGGTACTTATTTAAAAATACCAACTTATATGCATGCACTGCCATCGAGTCGAATCCGACTCATAGTGACCCCTCCTTGGGTTTCTGAGGTGTTATCACTACAGAAGTAGATTGCCCAACTTTCCTTCTGAGGAGTGGCTGGTGGGTTTGAACTGCCAGCCTTCTGGTTAGCAGTCAAATGCCTTAGGCACTATGCCACCAGAGCTCCCTGGTCCTGGAAAACATTACAGTGGATACCGGTGATGGTTGTACAACATGAGTAACGGAATAGGTATCATTGAATTGTATGTGTAAAAAAGGTTGAGTTGATAAATGTATTTTTTACAACAGCAAAAAAAAAAAAAAAAAAAGAAAAAACAACAGGACAATAACTTTTGGCCCCCACCTGAAATCTTGAGAATCAGAACTGCTGTGCATTTTAGTAAACTCCCCTGATAATTCTAAGATGCAGCACAGTCTGAGAATCACTGTTCAGTGTGTATTTCAAATCAGTGTCTCTTAGAGAGACATATACCTATCCTGTGTGCATCCCTTTAGTCCACACCAAGAAAGGCATAGCCACTCCACCCTAGGCCTGGAGGTAAAAGTCCCCACCCCCTTTTAGCACCTGCTAATGAATGTCCACTCTTTCTCTACAAACCTTCTGTGGCATGCACTTGATCATTTCCAGATGTATTTCCAACATGCAGCCTGACTCTTAACCTAATACCTGGGCCTCACCTCTGCTGGGCCCTCTCACAGACTTAGTTACAGCCCGTGGGTTGGGCTCTTAAGTTTCTATTTAGGCTCTTCTGCCATAAGCTGCACCATGACCCCCTAAGCTTCAAGGACTGCTTCTGCTGCAACCAGCCACTGGTCTTCCCAGGTGAGCTGAGTGGGCTGTGACATCTAGGTGTCCAGAATTTGCCATTTTAGTGTCTGTTCCAGTGAAGGTTCTTTGACCTACAGCTGGGGTGTCCAAATAACACTTGCTGAGTGAAATGAGTTCAAGTCTAACGCAGGGATCAATTCCAAGAAGTGGGAAAATAGTGAGTGACTGAGACTATGTGTACCTTTAATTTAAATGAAGATTTCCTCCTGGATTTCTGTCATTGGTCCAACCAGAGAGGACTATGACCTGCAGGTTTAGAAAAAGAGATTCCCAGCTGGGCTTCTTCCCAGACTGAGGGCCATTTCTGAAAAACTATCCAGGAGAGTTCCTCCGCTGATGTAGGCATGCAAGGAAAACTTGGCCACCATTTTGATGAGGCAGGCATAGTTTCTCCAGAGTTCCAGCAGCAATCCAGAGATGGTTCTGAGTTCTCTGCTCAGAACCTGGGCTAGTGTTCCTTTTGGTTAAAAGTCCAAGCATCCTCATAAGTGCCTAACTCTCAAATGTCCTGTGCCTGAAGAATGGCCATCAGCCAAGACTACCCACTGCCATTGAGTCGATTTTGACTCACAGCAACCCTATAGGACAGAATAGAACTGCCTCATAGGGTTTCCAAGGCTGTATATACGTTTTCACAGAAGCAGACCGTCACATCTTTCTCCCATAGATGAGCTAGTGAGATTGAACTAATTTTGGTTCGCAGCTGAGTGCTTTAACCGCTGTGCCACCAGGGCTCCTTTAGCTAAGACTAGACACAGTAACATGTTTTCAGAATATACCACTCACCAATGGCTTGCTGTTGCTTTTTGAATCAGTCTGTTGTACAATGGAACCACAGAGGAGGGGAGAAATAGTTGAGCTTCCCTGGAGAAGTAAATAATTGTGGATATTGACAGGGTACTATTGTGAATAAGCTAACAGGGCCTGTCACAGTCCCATTTTTTTTCCAGAGGGCTTTTGATTCCAAAGTCTAGAAGAGACCCAGGATTGCTAACAAATTCTTGGAATCGATTTTAAGCCACATTTGTTTACCCTCCTCTATTCCACAATGAGGGCAGATGTAAGTTTGTGCACTGTGGTAGCATTTCCATCGTGGCAAGAACAATAGAAGTTGGCTGTTGAATTTAAATAAATATTTAATTCATGAAAATTATCTTATATGTTTTAAAACACTCTTTAAAGCTATTTTTATTCTCTAGAAATCGCTTATTATAGGTAAATTACACATTTTACTACCGTGGCATTAGGTTTGCTATTAGTACAAATTTAAGACACTACAAAGACCAGTAGATAATGTTAATTTCAAATACAGAAACTAAATATATTTTGTGCCTTTTTATTACTCATTTTCTTTTAAGTTTTATTGACTGCTTTTTATCTTAACTATATGTCTTTACATGCTGCAATCATAATGCACTGTAATGGTATTAATATTTTATAGAATCAGTATTTATAGTTCTTTATTTAGAAACAATGCAGTAGGTCTGCAGATATCTGAGCCCGTCTGGAATGGTGCCCTCCAAATAATGATAAATTACTTGTGCAGTATGCCATTTGCTAATTATATCCATGATTTACTGCAGAGCAAGACTTAAATCATTCATTTCAGTCTTGCGTAACAGTGCCATAAAATTTTTAGGTTTAAAAATGGTTTCCATGTGTATAATTTAAACAAATTTTAGAGCTATTGTATACACAAAATATTGCAACCACCCATTTGTTACATACTTTGTCTTTTTAAACTTCTACTTTTAATGATCACTGTGGTTGAAATTATTATGCTTAATTTTCATAATCATAGCTTTTAAATCTACAGCCGTTTTCACATGTTAGATAAAGAAAAAGATAGCTAATTGTGTGTAGATAGTATGTCATTCCTGAATAGTCCCAAATGGTACAAAATCATTAAAAAAGCTTAAGAGTACGAATTATTCTTCTATTAAAAAACAGTTGTTCTCTAACTAATTATTAGTTTGAGCTGCTTTGTTTCAAAGAACAAATGTTGATCCTTCTAGCCTTGTTCAGCACACCAAAATGAGATAAACACTTTTTTTTTTTCTCTCTCTCTTACACAAAAATCTGCAGGTGAGAAACCCTACAAATGTCCCCACTGTGACTATGCCGGTACCCAGTCAGCGTCCTTAAAATACCACTTAGAACGACACCATCGTGAGCGACAGAATGGGTCTGGGGCTCTGTCTGGACAGCCCCCAAACCAAGACCACAAGGATGAGATGCCCAACAAAGCCTCATTGTTTATCAGGCCAGACATCCTCAGGGGCGCCTTTAAGGGCCTCCCTGGAATCGACTTTAGAGGGGGCCCTGCCTCTCAGCAGTGGACCTTGGGAGTGCTCTCATCTGGAGACCATTCAGGGCAGGCCACTGGCATGTCTTCCGAGGCTCCTTCAGACACTCTGAAAGGCGCTGACCTTCCTTCCAAAAGTACCCACTTCTCTGAAATTGGAAGAGCTTATCAAAGCATTGTGAGCAATGGTGTGAATTTCCAAGGGTCTTTACAAGCATTCATGGATAGCTTTGTCTTAAGTTCCTTGAAGAAGGAGAAAGAAATGAAGGACAAAGCCCTGTCTGACCCTCATTCCATGAAAGTCCATGGGGCAGACTGTGGTGAGGAGAAACCCAGTGGTAAACCCTCACAGAGGAAGTCTGAGAAATCTCAGTACGAACCTCTGGACTTGTCAGTGAGGCCAGATGCTGCTTCCCTTCCCGGCTCCTCGGTGACTGTTCAAGATAATATTGCGTGGCATGGCTGCTTGTTTTGTTCTTTCACAACATCCTCCATGGAACTGATGGCCCTTCATCTCCAGGCCAATCACCTGGGCAAGGCAAAGCGCAAAGATAATGCCCTGGGGATACCTGTAAATTGCAAAGATCAGGCCAGGGAGGCAAGTAAAATGGCCCTGCTACCCACAGTACAATCAAACAAAGAGATGGGGCTTCCCCATATGATTGGCCCTCTAGACTCTGCTTCTGAGAAGATCACCCAAGGGCAGGTCAAGGACACTATGGGGGAGCAGAAGAGCAGCACTTGGTCCAGTCACGTGGACCCTGCTTTTTGCAACTTCCCGTCAGACTTCTACAAGCAGTTTGGTGTTTACCCAAGCATGGCTGGCTCGGGAGCCTCCAGTGCCTGTCCCAGCAGCGAGCCTGATGGGAAGACCCACCCTGAAGATGATGCCCCTATCCTGATCCCTGAAACCACAAATAAAAACACTACTGATGACCTGTCCGACATTGCCTCCTCAGAGGACATGGACTCCTCCAAGGGAGAGAACAATGAAGAAGAGGATATTGAGACCGAACCTGAAATGATGAGCAAGCCCCTGCCTACCCTCAGCAAGGACAGTAGCAGTGATGGTGGGGACAGCCTGCTGTCTACGAGTGCCCCCCAGCCTGCCCAGGGACTTGTGTCACCTCTACCCCAAGTTTCGGAGAAGCAGTGGCACAGCCCAAGCCTTCTTCCAGCCCAGGAGACCTCAGCAGGCCTGCCAAAGCCAGAGCGGGGCCCTCTGGGTCTGGAGAAGCCTGTGAACATGCTGTCGGTCCTCAGGGCCTACAGCTCTGATGGCTTAGCAGCCTTTAACGGACTTGCAAGTAGCACAGCAAATTCTGGATGTATCAAGAGGCCAGACTTGTGTGGTAAGTTTTAGAATCCTCTTCCTTTAGTTCATTTCCCAAAACATCAATGCTGAATTGTGCATTTAAAAAAAAAAATTGAGTAGATATTCATTAGCAAATTTTAAACTAAACATAAAAAAGCAATGCTGTATCTGCAATGTAGACAATCACGAAAGTCAATTTCATTTAGAAGTTTTACAAAATCATACTTTTGTGCTCTAATTTGCATCATAATGATCCAAAATGCCTGATAGGCATGGAAAAGGGGGGTGGTGTCTTGTAGGGTGAACTACTCCTGTTTTTAATCCATAACAGAAGGGGGGAAAATTAAAAAAGAGACAACATGGTAACTTGCAAACTTTTCAGTATTTTCAACTTGTGCATAAGATGCCTAAAGACAAGTCCTTAATGCTTTGCTCAGCCAAATCTGCTTTCTTAAACTTTTCTTTATATTGACTTAGAGGATACTAAAATCGTATCACACTAACCACAATGTCTGTAGAAATAAAGTGACCTTCTCTCCAAATAGGAAGATGGTTTTGAGGTGTTTGTGATTTACCTTTAGACATACCAAATGGCAGTTACTGTGACTTTGGCCTTCTATTATTGCCTTCTATCTGTCTGTCTGTCCACATGTCTGTCTGTTGTTCTAACAAGAAATGTACATTGTGAAGTCCCTGGTTAGCAGTGTTGTGATCCTGTGTCTTGGACTTATGCCTACCTGATCTTGTTAGCAAACTGGCACTTTACCTTCTTAGAGAATATGATTACCCCAAAGTAACTCCAGGTTTTAAAACATGATAATAAATCTAGAATTCGATCAGATGAATGGGGGAGGCAGGGAGGATCACAAAATCATTCTCTTGGCACCCAGATATGCACGTCCTAAAGCCTTTCTCTGAAGAGAAACTCAGTGTATTATTTCCTTTCAAACCAGCCCCAGAATATCCCTGCTAGAGACAAGTAGCACTGGTACCTTTCCATCTTTAATCTATGAATAGATTTCTGTGATTTTATTTCACCTGTTGAAAGACAAATGGGAGGAAAGAAGGAAAGAGGGAGGGAAAAAGGAAAGGTTAGAGGGAAGAAAGAGAAGGAGACAGAGAGAGAGGGAGGGAAGAATGAGCAAGGAAGAAAGGGAGGAAGGGAAAGGAAACCCAAGGGAGTATTTCTTAACCTCAGCATCCTGATGTTCCTTTTAGCACAGAGCAGGATTCAGGAAGCTGGACTCTGGGTTCATAAATTGAATTGATATATGTGTCCCTTCCCTCTCCTTCTCTAATTCACTAGGAATTGCACCAAGCAGTTGGAAATATTTTTGAATTGTCAAAAATCACTAAATGGATTTCTGACAGCTCAAATATATATATATATATATATATATATATATATATATATATATATACAGTTCCTTATGCTGAATGATTCACAAGGCCCCATTAACCAGCACCCCATATCTATTTTTAGCCACATACGATTTATTACTTTTGAAGCCATTAAAAACAAAATTTAAAAGATGAAGAAAAGGGTTTTATGTCAGTCCAATTTTTTTTCTCTTTTCTTGTGGGGGAGAGATGCTAAGGTCTTTTATTTTATTTCAGTGTTGTTTTAAGTTTGTGGATTGGGATGGTTTTTTTTTTTATTATTGTTTGTTTAGAGATTTTTAAAAAGTCTATTTTCAGTTCTTTCAACTACCTACATAGGACATAGTTCCTGCCAGGAACCCATGCATCAGAAAAGATCAAAACCTGACATGTTCATAAGCTCATTATTATTGAAATGAGCTCATATTACCCCTATTAATTTTCCCATCTTCCTAATAATGCTGAAGGAAGACTGCCTGCCTTTGAGGAAGCTTGCCTGATGGTGTCCTTTTGCACCAAGTGGCAGGGGGTAGGGGAAGGCATCCTCTGTCTTGTGAGCCTTTTCCCTTTGAAAATACCAGTCCACTGGCACTCCTCTGACATATCCATGAATATGTGCAGAGAACACTGTTAGTCAACCTTTTGGCCATTGAGTCACAGACCAGTGGGAGTTGTGGCCACTCTCCACATTGGGGATGAGGATCCTCCAGGCAGTCTGGAAGGTACCCTGGTGGCTTCCTTTGCAGAAGCACCAGGTTCCTTAGCTCCAATTTCCACTTGTGGTATGATGCCAAAACTAACTCTAGCCATAACCCATCTGTTTGTTGAGAGCATGAGTTCTGCCTCAGATTCGTCCTTATTTCTTCTGCGTCTTCTTTCTTAGTTTGAAAGCAGGCATGGAAGTCTACTGTCTTTGAGGCTGTTAGTAGGACACTGCTCTCTTGCTCCCAGGATGGTCCTGAGCCTGTCCAATTCCCATTACCCTGTTCCTGTAGCTGGTCCACCATAGCCACAGCCCTTACCATACTTTCTTGTTGGGTGCTGTGGTGTCTCAGTACCCAGAAGGACCAGACATATTTATCCTTTTTAAGAGTTAATGTCTATGAACATTTGGGAGGGAAAGTAAAACCCACTAGCCTACAAAATGGCCATTTTTCTTAAATATTCTAGTCTACTCCCTTTCCAGAATCACAAGAAGCGTTAGTGCTAGTTTAAGTTTTAAATCTCCATTGGCTTCACTTTGCAAAGGTAAAAATGGCACAAGGAATGAAATATGTCTAATGTTCCTTCCCTCTTCTCTGCTTACCTAAAAGTAGATATGGATCTCCACACTGGTCCCCCAGGTCAATATCTGGCTTTGCTAAGAAGCTGGGCCATGCCAAACCAAAGGATTATTCCCATAATTTACATCTCAGATGGAGTTTTGAGTCTGATTTTGTCTGGTTAGTAGACCAAAATCCACACTGTACTGCCTCTGGAAATGAGCTTGTAGATAGAACTAATATCTGTTTCTTAAGGAAAGCCTCTGTTCTCATAGGGTATAGAAGTGTTTGAAGAAGCATCAGTAAAAGCCTTGCTCAAATCTTGCAGACTCACCACAGATCTCAGCAGCTTCTCTGGCCCATATTGGTGTTACATGAGATGGCATTTAGGGTCTATTTCCATGTGTTTTCCTAATTTATGCCTGCCCACTTCCTTATTTAAAAAAAAATCTTGTCATACATTCCTTGGCATTGTTGACCTGGTGCCCTGGGCCACTGTGCACTGTCTATTCATGACCAATACATTTCTAACCCTATACCAGTGGGGGAAGAGGCTGACCCACCCAGCCAGCTGAGTAGAGAGAGGCCTGTAGCATGTGCCAACGTCGAGAGTTTGAGCATGCATTTTCAAAAGATCTTTCCATGGAAGACAAAACGTTAGTCAGTTAGAGACATGTTACATACAATCCCAAGGAAGAAAGAGCATCATTTTGGATTAAGCTGGAGGACATGCATTTTGTTTCTCAAGCAGATCAGAGTCCACTATGGTTGAATCTCCAAAGATTTCCAGATTCCAGGTGTGGCACACATTTCTTTATTCTGTTGAGTTACATAACACACAAGGCACTCTAGTGCCTTTGGGGAACTTAGATGTGCCCCTGGTTTTGGTGGACTGGGTTTGACCTTCATGATCCATATGAGTATTTAAATAGGGAGGCAAGGGGAGAGGCTGACAAGTGAACTGTTCATGTCCAATGACAATAAGACAAGACAGACACTTCCCTTGTCCAGGCTGAAAATGGAACTGTTGTGTTTGATGGAACTGTTGTGTATAAACTGAGAGCTTGGAGAACCAAGAGAACATGGAAGACCTAAGCTTCAGGGTGCATACATATAAGGCAAAGGCTAGTCTGCACAGCACCTCGTGGGCTGGCTGTATGTAAACATTAAAGACCATGATTCACCCCAGAGTCTGTGGATTTGTAGAGAAACCAGATCATCTTTAATTTTTGTTTTTTGGGCCCAAGACAAATAGGACTTGGAACTGTTGTGTGTTGTGTCTCATAATCAGGGCTTGCTGTATATCCTTTGGTAAAACCAAGAGTAGGATTGATGGGGTGGTATTAAAGTCAGATTAAGGGAACGGCAGGGAGAACAAACATAATCCCCTTTACCCTTAGAAGTTCTATACTGGAGTCACCACCATGCAAGGAAGCCTGAAGGAGGAAGGAGAATCCATCAACATGGCCACCATGGGCATAAGCCCTTGTGTGCAGTGGTTACCAGACAGGTGACCCACTTGACCTCTCAGGAAGTCTAGTAAGAAGGCAAGGTCATTAACTGGAATACTCCCAATATTTCAAATGTTTTTTTTCCCTGGTTATTGGGAAACTGGCTTCCTTAATTTGAATTATGCTTGGGACTATGGGATAAGCGTCTTCTGGACTGCCACAGCAATGGAAGAATTTGCAACCCACCAAATATAGGTCCCATCTTCATCTATGACTAAATATATGATGAAATGAAACAGGACAACGGAGCTGAACTCCCTTAAAACTTTTCTCCTCCAAAAACCTCATTCATTTTTCAGTACAGACAGTTTGAAAATATTTACCATCCTATCAGCTACATACTCTAGAGTAGAGGCTGGCAAACTTTTTCTGTAAAGAGCCAGATAGTAAATATTTTAAGATTGCAGGCCATGTGATCAGTCATAAACATCCAACTCTGCCAGGGGAGGAGGAAAGCAGCCATAGACAATGTGCAAATGAATGGGTATGGCTGATTTCAGTAAATGGATTTGACCCATAGGTTGTAATTTGCTGACTGACCCATGCTATAATGTAAGGACTCCCTGGATGGTGCCAGTGGTGAATGCATTTGAATTTTGGTCCACTAACCAAAATGTTGGTGGTTCCAGTCCAGCCAGAGTTGCCTTAAAAGAAAAGCCTGGTAATCTACTTCTGAAAAAATCTGCCATTGTAAACCCTGTGGAGTACAGTTCTACTCTGATGACATACATGGGTCACCGTGAGTCAGAATCGACTTGACTGGTTTGCTGTAAGGAGGGCTGTGTTTTTGTAGTTGTCCCTAGAGAAGGCATACACCCATTCTCTATCATTCCACCAGCCCATGAGATGACGTGGGGGAGGACCCACCGTTATCAGCCCTGGGGCTCCATCTACTGCCATCTGATGCTAAAACTAGAGATGTGAGGGAAGACTTGTCAATCCAGATGGGCCTCTTACACCTGTTTCCGGAAGGCCACATCTTTCTCCATTGACATTTGCAGAAGACCTCTTCCATATCTGGTCCCAGAGCTGCTCTCTGACCGCCAGCACAGGAAGAGGAAGTATGAGGAGTAAGAGTAGGAGCTCAGTCTTTGTTCTTAGGCAAGCTTGCTGTGTAGAAACCTAGTTTCCTCACTGATGAACAGACATCTAAAGATAAAAGGAGATTATGGATGTAAGAGAACTTGGGAAATGGTTCTTGGTTGAGTCTGTGCTGCAATGTAGAGGTGAGCATCTACATAAGGATGATGTGAGAAAATGATGTCAGCATCCAAACATTTTTTGGTTGCAGTGAGTCTTTAGTACTAAATGACAATGAATCTTACTTTCAATCAAGGTTATAGAGACACATTTTATTTCCTCATATCTGTCCTGCTGAGTTGTCAATAGCTATTTCTTGGTATGTGGGAAAGTTGCTTTGAAGACAATTCTGGCAATTTTGTGATCACAGTTTCAATTTCTGCCCAATTCTGTTCCTGATAGAAGGCAAGTACTAAGGGGTAGGAAATAAGGCCTGGCCCTTCAGTCGTTGACCAAGAAATTGGTAAGGTCTATGGTCAGCTTAGGAGCTCTGGTGGTGTAGTGCCTAAAGCATGTGACTGCTAACCAGAAGGCTGGGGATTCAAACCCACCAGCCACTCCTCGGAAGGAAGAATGGGCTATCTACTTCCATAGAGACACTGCCTCGGAAACCCAAGGAGGGGTCACTATGAGCCAGATTCAACTCGATGGTAGTGAGTTTGGTTGTTTGGTATGTCAGCTTGAGATTTCCAAGGTATGTGGAAACAGTGTATGTATATGGGAAGACCTTGAGCAAGGCTGTGATGGCTCCTTCCTGGCAGTTGGTACATTTTTAATCTTGTAGACGATTCTAAGGTGTGACCAAAGTCATCAGGTTCTAAGGAAGGAGATAAATTAGAAAGAGAGCATAGGAAGAAACCCACAAACCCAAATCTGAGAAGTGCACAGGTGCCCAGGCTAAATCCAGCAAACATAAGGGAGGGCCATTAGCCTTGGAGTGTAGGTGGCCTGGGGGAATCTCTGCTGTCGGGTCTTGTCTGGAGCTGATGTGTTTTGTTTAAAGCCAAATTCCTCCTCCTCCTCTTTTTCATGAGCTGAGTCTCACATGATGGTCTTGCAGAGTCTAGGGGTTGAAGCACAACTTTGCAATTTGCATTCATTGCCCAATTTTCTCATTTACAGATTGGCTATTGACTTCCAAGCCTGCAGCCTGCTCCCAGTAATAACAGACTGTACATCTAGGGCTTGATATTAGACCCCAGTAGGGAGGACCATTTGGTCTACCCTGGAATCCAAGGGCAAAACTTTGTCAGTTAATGCAAATCACCGCCCTACCCTGCCTGCTCGCCCCTGCTGGCTCCCTTTCCATTAGCTGCGGAGCCTTCCTTTTTGACTCTGGAAAGGCAAAGTATGGTGATGTCCTCAGGATCTCCTCCCAAAATGTTCACCGCGGGCAGGCCTTGCCGGCCCTGGTCCACAGCCTTGCTGAGGGAACTGTATTTGATGACAAGCAGCCTCTTTGGATGGCAGCTTCCTGCAAACTTTAGCTTTCTCTTCCTCCTCCCCTTCTCTTTTTAAAAAAATTAAATGGAAATGCCACTGATGTGATGTCGCTTGCACTGCAGGATGACAGAACTGATGTGAGAATACCATTGTATTTGCCAAATGGTCACTCATCATTTCAGAACAAACAAATGTATGGTATCTGTAAGTTGGCAAACACGGGTGACATTTAGCCTTGTTTATGTTCCTTTCTGTTTGCTGCATATTTTTGGCTCCAAAAGCTACTATCTGAATCAACAGTGCCTCTTAAGCAGGAGAAGAGTCTGGTAGCCTTAATTTTGGTTGTTGTTGTTGTTATTTGCCGTCGAGTCGCTCCCAACTCATAGCGACCCCTCCTTGGGTTTCCGAGGCAGTATCGCTACGGAAGTAGGATTGCCCAACCTAGCATATCCATATTCTTTTTGGATTGCACGATACCCTTGCCCAGGACCAAGCTGAAGGTGGGAGGAGAGGGCAACTGAGCTCTTTAGTTCAAAATGTAATGTTTCCCTTAGAAATGACTGTCAGATCAGGAGGTAGGAAGAGAAGGAGTGTTGTCAGAACACATGCCCACTTCACTGGGTAAAAGTAAATGCTCTAAACAGGCCCAGGACCTGGTACCTACAACAGGGACGGTGTATGATCCCATAGTTTCTTAAGCTGAGTCCTGGTACCTTGGCTTGAGCACTGGAATCTGCCTTCTCAGAAGGCTGCTGAGTCAAAGTGAGGATCGGAATTCATTCATCTTGACACATGCCACTTCTTAGCTGTTACAAGAATCAGGTTTTTTCTCTCTCTTTTTCAGATATTGTATGCAAAGTCCAGGTTTCAAATAAATAGTAATTATTTCCTATTACTTAGTGCTGATCAACAGCACCTCTAGTTTAATCGCCAACTTGCTTTAATCATGTCGACTATTTTTGCTTTAGCCAGAGACAGGAAGACCAAATTTTATAAATATTGCTTTATTGTCATTATTCCATTAAACGATTAGGGGGTATGCCCCTGCCCTTGCCCTCAAATGCCTCTAGCCAAAATGGTTTCTGGGATTGTTTAATGAATCTGCACATTTTCTTGCAGGTAAGTGACATCCCCTGTTCTAGTCGGTCTATCTGGACTTACCCTTGTCTGTTCGTGCTCCTCGGTGGTTATCTGCAGCTTGTTATTCGTGTAAAGTCAAGAGAAGAATGTATACACATATGTGTGTTGAATAAATAATTACTATTGGCATAGGTATGTGTATACACACGGCACACCAACCTACAGTATATATAGCAAATAATCATGGAGGCTAAAAATATTGCCCCATATGTTCCACTATTAGTCATGGATTGCAAAGGCTTAGTAACTTGAACAGGAGAGAAAATTCCCTCAAAATCATAAATCCTGATGATAAATGCTGGTGGATGGAGGTCCCTTCACCTGTGAACAACCTGACTGTGGGGTCTCTTCTGCAAGCTCACCACAGCCTCTAGAGATGGTCTAGCCCGGGATGGTCTCGTTGGCATTACTGCTTGTGTCTGATTGTCCTGTATTTTGTAACACTTTAGAAGAATACTGAAAAGTGCAGTAATTATCTTTCTCCATAGTATTTAAGCAGTAATATTGCTAGTTTAATATTGTGTCAGGTCGTCATATTAACCAGGAATAAATGACAGTAAAATTCCAGTGAACAGCACCTTGACATCCACAATTTAAAAATGGTGATTGAAGCAAAATGTGTAAACTTGTACTGGGTTATCGTGTGCTTTGGAATAGAGTATTGTTGAAGTAATTAGAAGATATATTAAGGTGTTCCTGGTAATGAAGGCATGTAAGTTATAATAATTGTAGCTTTCTGAATAAGTGTCAAACTATATCTTTAAGTGTGCTGTATGCTGAGTTACAAGTTAGGTCATTTATGAATGGAATGTAAAACAATACTAAAACTGCTTCAATAACTTATCTTGGTATTGCTAATAAAAAAAAAGCTGTGAAACATTAGTGCAGTTTTGAGTCATTATGTTAATTCATTCCACAACACCCCTCTTACTCCTTGACATCCTTCTATCTGTTGGAAGCCTCAACAGGACGTTCAGGGAATAATATTTATGCTGCTCCTTGGGCTTTTTGCTGGGCAACTTGTATTTTCCCATCAATCTTTCAGCGAGCCGTATATATACCAATTCATGACTGGATGGGGGAGAGGGCAGGGTCAAACATGCATCTCTCAGGACAAATGACTGTTAGGCACCAAGACCCCACAGCCACTCACAGGACGTGGGTAGAGGAGGACTAGGGTGCCAGAAGGCTACCTTACTAGCATTTTGCAGGGCTGCAAACCAGATGTGAAAAAGACTGCCTACTCCACGTCTTCCTGCAGCAAATGTTAGCATTTCCTTTCTATCCTGTGAAGGGTAATTTTTAATGGGACAATACTCAAAATTACTAGCCCTTGGGAATACTTTTTCCCCTGAGATTTTTCGGTTGTACATGTGTTTGTGGGAGCTCTGGTAGCATAGTGGCTAAGGCACTTGACTGCTAACCAGAAGGCTGGTGGCACAACAACAACATGTGTTTGTTGTAGCAGACTTGTACCTGATCTCCCCATAGTCCCCACCTCACCTCATGCTCAGAGGTCCGCAGGAAGGAAGGTTTTGTCTTTTGTTTGTGTTGCTTGATTTTATTGTCCATGACTTGGACTTCAGGGTCTTGCCATTTCAACAGTATTGCCAGGCTTCTTTGCTCGGGTATGTTTTATAACCTCCTAAATGCCATACACTGTCTTGCATCATGTTTCAGAATCTCAAGTCCCAAGTTTATCCTCCACCCCTCAAAGAAATAAAATGTTCTGTGTATGACACGGGGAATAGAAGGCCAGAGATATCCATTTGAACACCACTGGCCTTAGCAACAGGATAATTGCATCACTTGAATGGTTGAAACATTCCTTCTAGTATTTCTCCTAAGAACTGATCACAAAGCCATAATACAGAATGACATTGTCTTGTATGTGGGGGAAGAGATGAGAAGTAAGAGATTCTGAGCTAGAGAATATATACTAAAAGCCCCAAATGAAAAACAGAGAGCTTGACGAAGGGCCTAGCTTTTTCACTGTTTCATACCCATGACTTAACCTGATTCTGTTCACATGAAGCTGAGAACAAACACTGTGGGTTCTGTTGAAAACTGTGATGGATCCCAAAGTGCATCTGCAAGGGGAGGCAAAGTGCCCCTAGCTACCAGGCCCAGAGCCCATGTGACCATATCCAAGGAGGGCGAGTTTCCACTGCAGGGTGTAGGCAAGTTTTCACAAGAAGGACTCTGGGAGGGTTGTGTCTCTCTGTCAAGATTTCACCTCTGTCTGTGGAACTGCCCCAAGGGAAGTAGGGTGCAGTGTTGGGAGATGTCATTTGTGCCGTTTTCTGGACATGATGTCTGTCAGGCCCAGCACCCCTTCTGGGGTTGCACAGCTGTGAAGAAGTACAGTGTTCTCCTTCAGCTGGGAGACCAAGATGCTCCTTTGGACTTAAGAAACTTCATTTTCAGTTTCTCTGGGGCCTCACCACCATCCACACTATGTAGGCAAGGAATAGCCCATCAGGTCTCCATGGCCCCAGTGCCTGCAGCCTGAAGATGTGGGCAGAGAGGAGAGGGCTCTCTCTCCTGCAGGCTGCTGGAGGCCCCAGGAGCCTCTGACACACTGTCCCTGGCATTGGCCATCATTTACAGTCACTTTCCATACTTCTGGAGTCCTTCCTGACACTACAGAACCTCTGCTTTTGCTGGTCCAGCTGGGATGGGGCTCAGAGTGGTGGCCTTGGGAGCAGAATCAGTGCATAGCCAGCGCAGGAAAAAAGAAGCTACTGATAGGAACAGATCATGTTGGCCGGCCCTGCGCTTACAGCCAGGAGGCTCCCTGGGGACACCTATTCAGGAGATTGCTGTTCTCTCTTCCCTCCATGAGGGCCCAATCCCTCTAATGGGGTCTCTAAGCTGGAGGACTTAGCAGCATTTCCACTTCTAAAGCAGGGGTCTATCCTGGGTCACTCCCTGGGGGAAGCTTTCCAAGCTTAGAGGATACCTTTGTGATTCTCGTGCTCCCATTTTTATTCACCTAGTCCTAGCCTGTTCCCACCCGCCATTTCACCTCGCCCACCAAAGCATGCCTCACACTGTCCCCCTGGTTGCCATCCAGCTCTTCATCAACATTTCTGTGTCTGGATAACAACTCACTTTTTGCCAGTTGAGTGTCCTTGGGCAATACTGCCTGCTTCCTGAGAGACAGCTGGGTGGATTCAGTCCTCAGAATGAGCTGACGTCATTTCACAGCTCTGAATGGGGCTAGCAGTTCTGTTTCCTGCTGGTTCCTCCATCCATAAGATACATGAAAGTATAACAAGCTCCACTTAGTGGGACTCAGACTTGGAACAACCACAGACAGCACCTTTTGGATCAGCCCTTGGCCCTACAGCCTGTACCCTACACCCTTTCCAAGCACAGGTGGCTCACCAGTCTGAGGTGGAGAAGAAACCCCATTGTGTATCAGATCAGAGTTCAAGGAGGTCTCTGGAATTTCAGATAAGAGAGGTAAAAGAAGGGAAAGGTGCCCTGAAGCTTATGGTAAGAGACAGTCTTCAAATCCACTCATTTTCACAGGTTGAAAAATGTTTTTCCTATGATGAAATATAGATATTCTGGCTGGGGAAAAAGAATTTGAACTTTGAGAGATGATTATTGCTCTTATGTACACCCTTTCTTCATGTGGTTAGGTTCCAAAGACTACTAGCTCCTTATGGAAAAATCAGTGTTATGCGAAAATGGAAGATGACTATATCATGTCACAAAACGGAAAACGACTACATAACTGCCAAATTACATCATTATGTAACTGCCAATTACATCATTACCTCACTACCAAACCACTGAGAATGATGGCCCAGCTAAATTGAAACATAACCTTAACTATCACAAGCAGTGTTACTCTCACCTTTCACCTCAGTATTTATTACTATCAGACATATGTCATTAGTGCACAAAATAGTGGGAGAGTAGATTCTTTTACTATTGTTGTAAATAACAAAATGTTAGATATCAAGATAGTCGATAGGTGAGGAGTAGATGTAGTCATTTTTTCTCAAAGAAATTTCATGATGATTAAATTACATTCCTAAATATGTAGCAGCACATTGGCAATATTGTCTCTGCACAGGTAGACAATACCTCTTGAGCAAACAATGTGCATTTTCAAAGTTACAATTAGGAAACTCTGTGCAGCTACTTCACTAGCAAAAATATCCATTTGCACACTCAGACATCAGCTGGCTTCCCAAGGAGTTTGTCTTTCATGTTATTTGTGGAGTGGTCCAGACACACTTAATGTGACCCTCTGCTCACAAGGTTCAATTTTCTTTTTGTTGTCAAATTAAGATATCGTGCTCTCAGAGAAAAGCAAACAAGCAGGAAAAGCAAATTTTCAAGTAATTTACTAAATAATTGTTCTTTTTATATGATGGACAAGTTGCTTTTCTTCTTTTGAGTCAATTGTTTTGTATATCCTCAAGAGAGGTGGTTTAGACCACAAGGCCCCTCCAGGCTGGACCCCACACTTGGAGAAGTGCTGAAGGCAGGCATTTTGCTAGGATGTGGAGTGGCCTCTAGGGTAGTTAAGGGTTCCCTAATATGTCCAGCTTTTTCTTGTCCAGAAGAAGGCCACTGATCTTCGTAGTCTCCTGAGATTCCTTTGCCCTGAGATAAGGACATATGGGAAGAGGTACTTTACATGGGAAGTGATCCTAAGAAGCAGGAAAGAGGAAGTTGGGAAGTAAGACAGAGAAAGGAGGAAAGCCAAGACAGGGTTTGTGAACAAGAGGGTTACCACTGTGGGCAAGCAGACCTCAGTCCGTCTGGGGCTCTCTAACATACTGCGGGGAACACACCTCAGAATTATCCCTCTGACAGCTGAAAAGCTGGGATATTATCCACTAACTCTGCATCTCTCATTAGTTAGAGTCACTCCAGAGAAACAAGACCTTTGGCATAATGCCAGGGAACCAGAAAGGAAAGGGTGGGGTACTAGCAGCACCCACTACCAGTGGAAACCCCTTAGCCTGAAAGTTTTTACACCCTCCTCGGTCCACTGCATGTCAGTGATCTGTGAGAGCTAGGGATGAGAAGTAAACTGCAGATTCTACACATTGGGAAGAGCACAGATTCTCAGTTTATGGACAGGTTGATTGGAGGCAGGATTGGAAGACTGCCCTGGGGGTCAGGAGACCAGGCATCTAGCTGCAATCCTGCACTGAGGCGTCACGACATCTCACTTCTCTTCTTTGGGTACCATTTCTCCACTGGAGAAAGAGGAATGGTCTGGGTGAACAGCTGGGACCACCCTTGGTCTCAAACTCTATAGCTTTCACAGCCCTTCTAGCATTGATTTTTAGATGACCTTAGAGCCCTGGGAGTCCCAGAATCCTCAAGAGCATTCATTCCAGCATCCCACCCCCACCTCCCTGGCAATGGGCGCCACCTGGTATTTCCACTAGTACATGAACATGTGAGATTTCATTCCAGTCAGACCCTCTACCATTACAGGGCATAGATCATGTGAATAACTGTTTTAACATGAAGACATTTTTTTATCAAATCCTAAGAAGAACGTTGAGGAAGTTCTCTTTTAATTTAGAAGTCAGTCAAAAAAGAGAGAGGTCCATGAAACTGAAGTTTTGACTTCATGGAAGTGGCAAGGAAAACCTGATTATTTGACTTTTTTTTTTTTTTACTTCTCATGATGAGGAAAGTTTCCTCAAGCACTTTACAGATACCAGTGTTAACCCAGTATGTCCATCCTGGATGTGTGTGTCCTGTCCCCACCCAACACACACCCACTGATACTTAGAGGTACCAGTTGCCAAGAACTCAGGCTATACTCCATCATCCCTGCATGGTTCACAGAAATGGTTCACATGCTCTTTCTTACATACCTGTCAAGAGTTCCCTTGGCA